TAGACTCGGCTAGTTCGGTGGGCGCTGCCATGCAGTGCATGTGGTGTTTTAACCAATGGCAATGGGGGTGAACTCTTCGCTCAATCTCAACGGAATCATGGTCGCAATGGCAGCTTGCTTTTGCTGCCGGTGCCCGCTACAATTTATTTCGGCAAGAGTTATATGTACTACTACCACCCACACTACCACCGGATCTTCTTTCACCACCAGACCTTTTTTAATTTTCATGCTGTTGGTGCTGGCACCAACTTTTGCTGTCCCTCCCCCCACCATCACACACACCTTACTTGTATTATTACCCCCCCCCCCCCTTGCACACCACTGCTTGTCTCGTCCTTTTTTTAGCTACTGTTGTCTGCTTTATTTTGGTGGTTTTAAAACGGTGCACGTGATCCAACTGACTAGTCTGATCGGATTGATTTCCTTAGCTGCCGCTCTCGTCATCGTCACTACATCAGTCTGTTCTGTGTGCTGTCTGTGTGCTGTGCTGTCCACGTGCTGTGTGTGTGTGTGACATGTCTTTACTCAGCAGCTACCTTCCAATCTCATGCAATGTGTGTCTCAGGCATTCATCGTCGTCACATCATCACTAGCTCTCTTTTTCATGTTCTTCAATACCCTCCGTTTCTCATCAAACTTTTGATATGTACTGTGTTTTTGTTTTATTTTTGTGTTTAGCTACAGAGTTCTGCTATATTTAGCGCTGACTTCAGTGCTGACTTTTGTGCTACTTCGAAGTAGATATTTTGCTGTCAGGCGTTCAGCGCTATCGTTGGCACGGATGATAAGGGGTTCCAGGTGAAATTTAGCGCTCAATATTGCACAGTATAGCGCTGAATTTAGCACTGAATTAAGCGCTGAAGTTAGCGCTGAGTTTAGCGCTAACTTTCACACAAAGAATTGAATTTTAACAATCAAAGCGAGAAATGAACAAACACTGACAGCTGCATTAACACTACAAATGCCGACTCAAAAAGACCCACCTTGCATATCAGTAGCTCCCACACCAACACCAACAACGCAATATACAGCAACCACAACTAATCCACCATCCAAGCCCACAATTGAAAGACCAAGACGATCAACAGCCAACTACAACAGAAGCTACGCACTCAGCGGACAAGGGCGAAAGGAGGGATGTGATAGCAGGGTGACGGCCGAGTTGACTTCAATGGACCCGGTCAGGCGGGATGGACGAGACAGAGAGAGTACAGAGGAAGCGGAGGATGGAGCGGACGGCGGAAGGAGCAGTGAGTCGGAGAGCAGTGATGGGAGTGATGGTGAGAATGCCGGTGAGAGTGTTAGTGTTGTGCGTAGGTTTCGTGGTAGCAAGTCTTCAGTGTACAATCATCTGCTAGCTAGTCCTGATTGTTGCAATTCGTATTCCGACTCTTCGTTCACTGTATTGTGCCGTGGTCGTCATGGTTATGGACTACAGTTAAAAGTGTTGGAAGCTATCTATCAGCGTCTGTACAAGCCTAATTTGTGTGTACAGAAAGATAGTATAATTGGGTTGAAATTGTTTAAGTAACGTGTCGTGTTTAGTGCGGCCAAGCTTGGCCGTTAATGTTCTAGGTGTAATGTACTGCTGTTATGTGTTATCACGTTGTCTTTCCTTCCTTTCTACAAAGAATTGAGAAAAGAGAAAAATTGCACGGCGATACTTTTAGCGCTGAGTTTAGCGCTAACTTTCATACAGAGGAAGAAAGGGTTTTCTTTTTTTCCTTTTTCACTGCGATATACTTAGCACCAATTTTCACGCTAATTTTCATTTCCTTTGTATGAAAATTATTAGCCTTTTCACGGCGATATTCTTAGCACCGAGTCTAGCGCTAGTTTTCATACAAATTAATTTTACAGCGTTACATTGCAGGCTCGTGCCCCGTATGCAAGAAAAACCCTTACATTTAGCGCTATAAGGCTTTGCACTCTCAACTTTCATTTCCAAAGAGAAATTCAGCAATGAGTTTCCACATTTCTTGCAGGCAATTTTGATGTTTTGGAGAAAGTGACAACACTGAAGTTACACCTTTTTTTATTCACAATCCCATTGCCACAGGTGCTCACAGACACAAGTACAATGTACCCGTGCCCATTGGCACTTCAGAAATCCATAGCCCTTACATCGGAGTGTTTAACTAAAATGGAAAAAATGGATGCTGAAGGTCGAAACAGCTTGCTGCTGTCCGAAGATTGAGTAAAATATACAATGGATACATGTGTCATTACAGTTCTTGCATAGTGATAGTGCTGCAGATCTAGGGCTAACCCTGCTTTGAAAGACAGAGCTGATCGAATTTTACATTACAATAAAATTGTGCAGGCGTATTTGCTCGCGCAGTGAAACTTCTACTGAATCGGCTAGTGAGACATAGCCGTTTCGATCTTGTTAGGTCTCATGAGCAGAGCTTTGGAGTGACTGCATGGACAAGCCCTATGCCGCTATGAAATGCAGTGAATAACTATTGTTTCAGACAGAGAGTAGCAACATGCATGAAAATATGGCTCAAATATTACTACTGCCGACATTGGCAAGAAGCTTTCTAAATAGAGCTCTGGTGGTGAAATAAAATCAAGCTACAGTAGAACCTGTGACTAACGACCGCCCTTGGAGCCAGGGAAAGCGGTATTTAGTGGCAGGTGGTCCTTAGTTAGAGGTTTGTACCGCACAACCATTAATATGAATGTGAGACCGTCCGTGCCTGGCGAAGTGGTTTGTAGTACCAGGCTGGTCGCTACTCACAGTCTGTCCCCGGGGAAAATTGCGGAAAAAAATCGCAAAAATCGCGGGGAAAAACGCGGCATAATATGGCATAATTTGCGGTGAATTTGCGGTAAATATGCGGTGAATGCGGCAATTTTCAGTGAGTATGTAGTGAAATCAATCAGTTACAAGTCTCTGGTGTATAAAGCACCCATTATTTGAGTAAAAAGCCGCCACGATGAGACGTTGCTGACCGAAAAGTGCACTGTGTGTACGTGTAGTGCAACAAAAAAGTTCAAAAAACGCGGGAAAAGCGCGGAAAACGCGGTCTTTTAAAAAAATCGCAAAAAAACGCGGAAAAAAACGCGGCCGCGGAATCGCAATTTTCCCCGGGGACAGCACAGTGGCCTTTGGTTACAGGTTTTGCTGTACAAGGGTGTTGCAGTGTTGCGTGGCGATCAGCACTGCCAGGCCAGGACAATGATACTGAAGGCAGGTGTTGGGTTTTTCATGGTTCATGTTTGCTTAGCTTCCCCTCCGATTGATCTTTGAATCTTAATAAGAGCCACGCAAGCTGTGTGGTATGTTGCTATGCGTCCTTGAATCATGGTTTGACCGTATTGTCTAATGGTCTTGCCAGTATCGTCATCAACATGCATGCACATCCGCCAACGTCCTTCACAGCTGAGACTTTCAGCTCGTGCCCGTCTTGGTTGTACTCACCTTCCCCTTCTATATTTTCATAATTATACATGTAACTTAGAACCTTCCAAGTTGGACGGCTGTTGGAGTGCTCACCCAAGACATGCCAGAGCTGATAGCCCGTTAGTTGTAGAACGTCAGTACTGCCGGTCAGCTTTGTGCAATGTTATCGCATGAGCTGATTGCCAAGTAACTGGTGGTGTTAGTGGACATTATAGAACAACCGCTGTAGTTCCTTTCTCCTTTTCTTTACTATAAATTACTTGTAAATTAATCCTCAACTCTCCATCCGAGTCTATCCTTGTACATAATTGTCAACATTTGTCACGACTGCACAGCACGTATGGTGGGGTTGGGGGGGGGGGGGGCGGGGGGGGGGGGAGGGGGCAGGGTTCAGTGGTCTAAACACTGACACACGGAGAAACCGCCAAGTGTGTATAGTCAGCGTAGTTCGTTCACCACACTAGTAAGTGGCCATTATAGGCACTACATAGTCAAAAATAGGCGCAATGACTAGTATGAGGTTGCCGGTGGTACATGGTCACCACACCACAGATGAACTCCAGTACATAGCCACCACACCACAGATGAACTCCAGTACATAGTCACCACACCACAGATGTGTGAGGTACGCCCCTGGTGTCCTTCCTAGGCATATGCGGATAATGTCGGCAGAAAATTAGCAGAATTCGGTACTTTTTCTGGTAAGTTTCATGCATGTTTGGTATGTAAAGTAAAAGTAAATTATCGTGTCCGTTCCCGAAGGGATAAGGGATAAAGAAATGGAGCAGAATTCGAGAAATTGCCCGCCATAAGGTTTGTATGGTTCTGCCACTGATTTCACTGCTTTCGAGCAGAATCTGCCACCGTTTCGAGCATTATCCGCACACCCGTACCCCTAGTCCCTCCAAACAAAATTTGATACGGCTACTTCTGTCGTGGACATGGAGATCCAGTTGATTGACCGGGGCCTGCGCCCTCAGCGCATACAGAACGTTGCATGCAGTACGTTAGGCCTTGACGGATTATGCTGGCATAATTTTTCGCATAATTTCTACCAAAATCGAATAATCGCATAATTCGAGGCAAATATTAATTGCATATGAATCGCATAAAATTGTAATAATCCGCCTGTTCGCATCAAATTCCATACAGTTGTACATGTTCTACAAGTACAAGTAGATGCACCAGGAAGTCGTAGGTTTACGACTCCCTTGATAACATGTCCAGTCCACTACAATCAGTGACGGTCGTAGCTAGGTCGGACGGTGCGGTGACCCCGTTGAACTTTTGTTACTACAGTACAACGCCCTCTACAAAAACAATTCCCCTGTTATTTTGCACAGAACCATCATGTACATGTACATCAGCAGCATATGTGAGCATAATGTGGCATAATATGATAACTTTTAGCATAAAAATAGCATAATTCTGCAATTTTTTCAGCAATGCGAAAAGCATAATTTCACGAAAATATTAGCGAAAATATTAGCGAAAATATTAGCATAATCTGTCAAGGCCTACAGTACGTGTGCACAGTCGTGTTGAGGCCGAAGCTACCAGCGCGCTGCATGTGTGTACCACTTATCCACGGCTGCATGGCCAGCACCCTGGGGCCGCTAGACGTGCGACCAGAGATTTCCATGTCCACAACAGTAGTACACGACCACCCACCCCCCCCCCCCCACACACACACACGCACACGCACGCGCACACACACACGCACACACACACATACATACACACACGCACACACACACACACATACATACCTGTCGTGCATTCCTGCGGCTGCACGCTCCTCGCTCGCTCTACCCAACGTTACGTACAGCAAACACACCTGTGACGTCGACCGCTCCGGCTCCGTACACGGTACAGTGTCCTCAGCTCATTGCTCCAGTCCTAGCTGTTGAACGAATGTGAATGTCGTGGGACGGGCAGCTGATACCATGGATACCATGGATACCATGGCGGATGGGGGCGCTATCGACATGTCGTCACTGAACTGTGAACATGCATTATGCCGAAACGCAAGATCTCGCTCTAGGTCTAGCGACTGAGGTCGCCTCCGCTTGATGATGGCAACGGAGTCGCGAAGTTCTTGGAAATCGCAGGGAACGTCTTTGCCAACTCAGTCGTTTCGCGCAGACTAGACTGCACGCGGAGACACTCGGCCTAGATCTACTAGTAGTAGGAAGAAGGTATGCTGTTCCCGAACCAGCCAAACACAACGACATATGCCGCGTGCTGTGCAGGCGTTGAGCAATAGAGATGATCCTCTTCCTCAGTCACGCATCATTTGACTGTAGCTAGACCCTTGCAACTTGTGACTTCCATAGCGCTTGCTGCTGCTTTGTCCACGACAACTCACATACAGCCAACACGAACACATAATGGCCATGTTTGCTGGCTTTCTTCCGAAAACGAAGCACTCTAAAGCATAGCGGCGACAAAGACAAAGACAGAGAAAGAACAAACAAGGGAAACTGACATTTCCGTTTTCTTCGGTCGAGACGGACGGAACAACCGCCAAACTAATGCCTCACACCGTCACACGTACGAGAGTATCTTGTTGCCTCCGTTGCACGCCTACTTTCTCCGCTGGTTCCAAGCTGAGCGGGGTGGGTAATAGGTCTCTAATAGCAGCTCGGTGCTCTACATACAGTGGTCGACTCGGGCGTCTTCAGGTTCTAGTGTGCAAGCACGAACTCAAGATTTTCCTCCGACGGTTTTCCTCATAGACTACACTGTAGGCGAGCCAAAAGGCAGTGGAGGAAACCAGTTGCAGTGGAACAGCAAAAGGAGGTAAAAGAGTGCGAGGTGACTATTCCAGCTATGAGCCCCGAGCCCAGTCATAAAATTAATAATGCTGATCTGTCGGTGGGAATGTGGCGGTGAACCTCGCGCCCTGCTCACCGAGTCATGATCGACACACGCTCTTTTTCTCTCTATGGCTGCGTTCACATGCCGTGTCTGCCACGACGGGCCACGACATCGCGCCACCTTATCTTGTCACCCCAGCAGTTGCCTGCACAACCTTGCCATTGGAGTCTTCGCACCTTGTCCAAGTCACTACAACCACTGTAGTACAAGTGTAGCGGCCAGGCTGTAGCCTTGTAAGTTGTAGACCTACTTCAGTCTTCAGTCTTGTAGGGTGGCAGTCAACGCGGGCTGGGCGGATTTACACCCTTTTTTTCTCTTTCTTTTCCTTGACTTTTAGTTTACTCGGGAGTTCCTTTTCTTGTCCTCTCTGCATGATTGCGGTAACCAACTCTTGCTGTAACCTGTTGCACATTTGTTGATCAATTTTTCCGTTTTGTTTTTCTTCCTCATGCATTCCAATCCTCCGGCATTGGTTTCTGCGTTCAATAAAACACGTTCTAGTATTTTAAAATGGGAGTTCTTCTTACTAGTATCAGGGGCGTGCTCGGCCCCCCAACTAGGGGGGTGCACGGGAGCCGAGGGGAGCCCCCCCGGCAATTTTCTGCAATTTGTTTGCAACCTTTCTTGAATTTTAGGGCATATTTGCATACATTACAATTGCAATTACCCAGATTGAAAATTTTTGGGGGGTGCACGTGCCCATCGCCGAGTACGCGCCTGAGTATCCATACTGGCTTATTGTATATACTGTCAATACTACAACAACCACACACTCCGCACACAACCTCCTGCCTAAAATAACACCTCTTATCTGGTCCTGAAACCTATACAGCCCCCACCCTCTGCTGGCATGTATCGGCATGGTCACTACCCCATCCTCATCTTGCTATGCCTGATGTTTGCAGCCAGGGAGCAGTACTACTCCCTGTTTGCAGCAGCAATCAAGCCTTGATTGCCCTTGGCCTTGTTGTTTTGTACACTGTCAGTACACAGGGATATATTTGAACTGTGAGCTGGTGCAGTATTCCAAACTGACTCAGTTTGGATTACTGCACCAGCTCACAGGTCTAGGGCTACATAGCACTAGCACCTGGCATAGCATTGACTCGCTCGATCGGATTTCACATGTATGGACTATGGTAAGAGCGGTGCGGCAAGCTTCTGTAGTGAAATCCAACGACGGGCATGGCAAAGTGCCCACTGTTTATGGCTCCGGGCTACTAGTCTGCATGCAGGGCAGCGTCGGCTCCCTGCATTCGCTGCATGGGGTTGGATTTTAATATGCAGCTGAACGACAAAGTACACAGAAGATACAGTACAGTGTACATCCAGCAGCGAACGGCAACAAAACATCCGAAAGACAAACCAGAAGACAAAGCAGCACGTATAAATAACAAGAAAGGAAATATTATAATGAATTCTTTGACAGAGTGCATCCTAAAAAAGGTGAAAAATAATGAAATCAGCAGCACAGGCATGCAGACAGATGAAGAGACACTCGTGCACAGACGCACGAAGAGAAACAGACGAAGACAATGAACAAAGATGAGGGGATCAACAAGCAGAGGAGAAGAGCCCGGAATGTCGGTTCTAACCACCGGCGGCAGCATGGCACATCAAAGCAGCTTGTGAACAACGCTGTAAGCAGAGCCATCAGTAGCAATCTAGCAAGGCTGCTCTCGAGATTGTCCACAGCCACGCCAGCAATGCACACCCCGAGACCGTATCGGATTGGGCTAGTCTTAGCATGCGTCCACACTGGCGCAGCAGTCAACGCAACGACAGTGCAGCAGTCACACACAGCAGCACCAGCCAGTCGCAGTGAAATTGATAACAATAGCGCATGCGCAAGGCAGAGGCAACTCTCTCTCTCTCTCTCACCTACACAGACACACACCACGGCCGCTGCTCAAGCAATGTGGACCTTGATGAGCGGATAGTCGAGGCCGCAGCTAAGCAGCACTCCAGTGGAGCTCCAGGCCAGGCCGCGCGCTACAGCCTCTGCCGTCGTCGACATTTTGGTCACTCGCACAGAGCCGCCATTGCTGCCATCACCATTGCTGGTGGTGGTGGTGTCGACAACGTGGCCGAGCACGGAGTCGCCGCACGACGCCAAGTAGCCGCGCTGGTGGCTGGCAAAGGCCAGGCGTGTCACAGTCGCCTCGCCGTGGCTATAGTTAGAGAGGACGGCGCGGTGGGGGCTGCCGGCGGTGCGCATGTCAAGCACGTTGACGGCGCCGGAGACGGTGCCCACGGCGACCATGGTGTCGTCGACGGAGAATGCCAGGCTGGTGGCGGCGGAGGAGGATTCGGCGCCGGGCATGAGCACGGTGCACGGGCGCGTGTGGCTGGCGCGCATGTCCCACAGCAGAGCGCGGTCGCCGAGCGCGCACGAGGCCAGCAGTGCCGAGTGCGTGGACGAGGCGGCCACGCGAGTGACGGCGTGCGTGTGCGCGCGCACGTCCTCGACCGCCTGCCCGCTGGCCAGGTCCCAGCGAACGACGCGACCGTCGGCACCTCCAGTCAGGACGTTGCTGGTCGCCGCTGATCCACCGCTGGTTGTGGTAGCAGCAATACATGTAGCCATGCCGTCGTGTTTGGCCAGGAGAGCATGTGGTGTAATCACACCCTCCTGGCCATCGAATCGGTAGACCTGTAGAGCGCCGGTGTCGTCCGCTGCGGCTATGGTGTCCTTGCCACACCACACTACGTCAGATAGGCCTGAAGTGCAGAGGGGGGGGAGGGGGGGGCACATGGAGAGAGAGAGAGAGTGAGAGAGTGAGAGAGAGAGAGAGAGAGAGAGAGAGAGAGAGAGAGAGAGAGAGAGAGAGAGAGAGAGAGAGAGAGAGAGAGAGAGAGAGAGAGAGAGAGAGAGAGAGAGAGAGATTCTCACACACTCAACACCCCAAGCAAAGACCGATCACGCCATTTGGTACGGTACCCATGCCCTGTAGCCCACAAAACATTGATGGTGCTATAGACAAGTGTAGTGCTGACTGATTTATCGATGTGCTCAACGTAAGGCCGTTCCTGGCTGCACACCCACTTAACCTGAACATACGACAGATGTGCATCTTCATTTTGTCTGGTTTACTTCTGCAACCGGCACAAGTGAATAGTGTGGGTCGTGACTCAACACGACTGACCTGCATGCAAAAGTGCATTTCGGAGTATATTATTATTACACAGAACAATAAGGGCAAGCCAGGCTAGTTTGCGGCACACTGGGTGCATCCTCCGGGGGTATTATTATTATTATTATTATTATTATTCTTCACTAGTTTGAGGGAAAGAGACAAACGGGAAAAGTCTGAAGAAAAAATTGACTGTCACCACCAGGACTCGAACCAGGGACCCTCGCTTGCAGCTAGCGATGCTCTAACCACTGAGCTATGGTGTAGTCGTCATCCCAGCAGAGACTGTTCAACATTTTCTTCAGACTTCGTAACTCACACTTCCTGTGAATCCACACAGGCGGGTATTATTATGTATACGACCACTGATGGCGGTTGTTCGGGTGAACATATGGTCTGTGGCATTGGCGTGCTGGGCTGCTTTCAATCTGGCTTGAGGTATGAGCCCAGTTTCTACAGGGAGGATTGAGTTATCAGCCCAGTTTCTACAGGGAGGATTGAGTTATCAGCCCAGTTTCTACAGGGAGGATTGAGTTATCAGCCCAGTTTCTACAGGGAGGATTGAGTTATCAGCCCAGTTTCTACAGGGAGGATTGAGTTATCAGCCCAGTTTCTACAGGGAGGATTGAGTTATCAGCCCAGGTGAAAACAGATCTACCCTAGTTAGTAGACAACCCTGGGGGTTCAAAATTGTCGTCTTATAACAAGTATTATCTACTGTCCGGACTTGAATGTATGAGTTTCAGGCGCCAGGGGAATATTTGTTCTTTGTCTACTAATGAGGTTTTGTCTTGTAACCAATGTCGCACTAACAAGGGTAGACCTGTACTGTCATGTACCACATACTCTCTCACAGTGTCACGAGGGAAAATACATGTACTGTAAGATTGCCCCGTCTCACGACGACAGTGCCCCGCTGCGAACTACAACCAGTGACAGGAAACTGCAGGGCTGAGTGCACAAAACGTTACACAGTCGTCCCTCTCTAATCCGGCACTTGTTTATCCAGCACCCTTGCAAACCAGCACACTTTCTGGCAAAACGGACTTTTTTTAGTTCATTTTGTACGCTTTAATCCGGCACTTGAATTCCGGCTCCAGCGGCGATTTTCTGCAACAAATCGCTCAAACTGTACAATAATTCGGTTTTCTAATCCAGCAGTTGTACATCGCATACCGTACCGGTGCACAGCTATGTCAGTTTGGTCAGTGAATGGACTACTTATCTGGGAGCATTCTACACATGTAACATACACTTGGGAATATCCTATGCACTGTATAGACATGCATTCCACCAAGAGTGCATAAACAAGAGTATGCAACTGTGGTTATGGGTCAGTGCGCGGCGCGCTGCCTTCATTACGTAACTTGTCTTCATTACGCTCTGAAAGCATGCATTCAAACTCACAATTTCTCGTACGAGCCCATCTGTTTTTGCTCGATTCGTTCCAGTACCTACGCGATCTCTAAATTCTGGCGCGTGAACTCCAGTTCTGTACGAAAGTTCATTTCAAACCAGAGGAAAAGTGCGGTGTTTGATTTTCCGCAGTGCGCGGACTGCAGCTGAATGATGTAATGAAGGCAGCGCGCCGCGCATCTGGCCCATAGAAAAGAGATCACAGTTGCATACTCTTGTTTATGGACTCTTGATTCCACAAAGTACTGGGATTGACACAGAAAATCCCTGCGTTATGACGTACAGCACAAACATGCATGCTAATAGGCGGGCCGGGTTGGAGGGCATGATTTGATAATCCAGCAGAAAATGCAGTTGCAAAAGGTGCCGGATTAGAGAGGGACGACTGGACACTGTAAGGAGAGGAGTGTACAGTAAAAGCTGCCATAACCGGCCAGCCTTGGTGCAGCGGAAACTGTCCCGCTACGACAGGATTCCGCACGATCCACGGATGCACGTTCGAAGCACGGCACTCTGGTGCATGGACGTTTGTCCGGTCAATATAGGATTCGGCTTGTTGCAGGGTTCGGCAAACACAGGTTTTACTGTACTACCGGCATGCATGCATGACCCCGGACTAGCTCACTGCTCTTAGCTGGAGCTCAATGTTGTTGCAAGGTGACGCGAGAACGGCTCGACTGCACGGCGTGCGCTGTTTGTTGTGCCATAAGCATGTATGTTGTGTGTTACTGACAGACAGGGCTTATTCATGTGCACCGACTCTGAAACACCACGAAAGGGTGGTGGTGGTGGTAGTGGTGGGGCGCTCTCGTTGTACTTTCGGGTACAATGTACTTTGAGTTTGAATGGCAGCAAGACATCTGCATCGTTTCAGTATTTTTTCTCCCTTACCTGCTGAGACCGGATGGCAGGCTGTTGCTACACTACACTGGTTCTCAAGTTCGTCGCGCTCCTCCTGGCCAAACGGCGCGGCGTACACCCACAGGCAGCCGTCCCAGACGCGCCCGGCCAAGCTGGATGAGACGAGGCACACAGCTCCGTCGGCGTTGCACTGCACGGCATCCAGGTGGCGATGCAGGCGCTCTTCTTGGCGTGCGTCGAAAATACCGGCATTACTGAAACACTCATCCATGTCCATTGTGCTATCTGCTAACGAGGAACGTCCACCAGTAGATCTGCTAAGCGCCATGCCATGAAGAAGAAACAGCAACAACACAAACGAACAAACACCCACATGCGCACACGTACGCACAAACAAGCAGGAACACAACTCAAATAATTGCCGTGAAGCTATTGGACTGTGCTGATTTCCACTAAACACATCGGAGCAGCTAGACGGGAGACGGTCCTGGAATCCGAAAGCCCAACCACTCTGGCACTCCCCTCCAAGTTTACTCAACAAAAAATACGATGTGATTCCTGGTGGGTGAGCTAATTCTTCACAATAAATTGCTCAGTCAAGATAGAAGGTAGAACGCTGGCTTCAGTTGTAAATTTCACACTGCATCAGAACCTAAATCAGAATGCTCACCTTCAAAACCAACGTGGGTGGCAAGGACAACAAAAAAGAACGAAGCAAACTGACGAGGCTATAATAATCTCTCTCTCAATCTCCAAACTGGAAACATGGAATAATGGAATCTCCCTCTTTCACAAGCAGTGCATGCAGTGAACTGAATCACTCGCATTCGATCATATTCAAGCAAGAATTTTTTTTCTCGTTCAAATTCATTTCTTGGATTTGTTTTGCACGCGCCATTTTTGTGTCGCCATCACCTGATCACATTAGGGGAACCCCCGTCTTTGCCCCTGCTGCTGGGCCAGCACGCGCGACCATCGTGCAGCCCAGGGAAAGGAGTCCAAAACTACCTGGTATTTTTCGACTCCATAACAATTGAGTACAACTTCCTGTACGCATTATTATAAAAATAGTACGGTGCAGATAATGAAATCTGCATAAAATGTGCTGTGTACTATGCAAAGCTACGCATTTCAGAAGTGTGTACGGGTTCTTGCCTCCCGTACTCTTTCATCTGTACGATTTCCTTTGTCAACAGCTGGCGGAACCCTATATAGAAACCGAAGATCAAAATTATTATCAGATTATACAATGTACGTGTGGGTAGTGAAAAGGGGCTCTCGAAGCCCCTAAATACATGTACAATGTACACTGTATCTCCACAAGCTATGAATAAGAATGAAGCTTGCAATAAGAGCCCAGCATTTCTTGGTGCGTCTGCCCAGTGTTGACTCCGAGACCCACGGTCGGTCGGACGAGCTGCCCAGGCCTCAATACCACTGCCGTTTCCGTGCTGCCTTCGATACATACGTACGTATGTACACTGTATATCATGTGCACATTCACATGTCTGAAGGTTTGTGGCTTTGTCAATAAATTTTTTTTCAGTTGCTTCTATTCTACTTTTAGTAGTCCTCAGTGGTGCTGAGTTACCAGAAGAAGATATTCTCAGTAACATTCCACACCAATTCTCTCTGCAGACAAACCACAAATAATAATAAAACTACCCAATAATGTGACTTCAGCTGCCACACCACAGACATAAAAGACAAACAGCAGAGGACCAAGTACGGAACCCTGGGGCACACCACTGCTGGGCTGAAATAGCTTGCTGTGCTGGTTCCCAATGACAACTATTTGACTTAGGTAGTCTTCCAACCATTTCAGCGCACTTCCACCAACACCAATACTGAAGATGTCGCAGATGAGGGTGCCATGTTGAACCTAGTCGAATGCCTTCGACGTATCAACAAAGGCAGCGCGAGTTGAGAGTTTGGAGTCTTTAGCATTGGCAAAGGCCTCCGATGCCATTACAACAGCATCCTCTGTTGAGTGCTGTTTCTGGAATCCGAACTGGCAATCTGGGTAGAGGCTGTGGATGGTCAAGAACTCAGTGAGTTGCGAATGTACGATGCGCTCAAGGATCTTCGAGATAACAGGCAGCAGAGAAACAGGTCTGAAATTGGTGGCCTTCGTAGGATCGCCGCTCTTGTACACAGGGGTGATATTTGCAAGTTTCATGGATAATGGAAATCTCCCTTCGGAAAGTGACTTGTTGAAAATGAGTTACTGCATGATACTGATGGAGCTAAGAGGTCAGAGCATACTGCTAGTACGTGTTGAGAAACACAACCAGCTTAGGAAGTTCGCTTGTGTCCATCATGTACAAATATTACACATGTACATGTACATCATGTACCGGTAGTAGCGGGGTCTCAGCCTCAGAACCGGGATTTGCTCCAGGGAGTCGCACAAACCCTTTTGTACGACCCTGTTTTCCTCCCCAGTGGTCAGACCAGGACCAAGATATACAGGTAATGCAAGTCGCAGTGCTATCATGAGTCAGTCCGTATCCTAATTATTAATAAGTAACCCCGCCAGGGGGTTATTACCCCGCCAGGGGGTTATGGACTGAAGATGCTATAGTCTACAACACTCCCGCTGTCCAGATAGCGTTTCTCGACGGACCTTGCTGAAGCCTCCGCTTTTATGGCTCGTGAGTCATGCCCCCCGCCCCTTTCTCGTCAGTTGAGGCGTTTCTTGTTCATGGTATCCCAAGGGCACAGTGTGCATGTACACACACACAACAGAGGCGAAAGGCTGTGGAGCTGTAACCTTTTTTTAGTTTCAAGCATTTCAGCGATCATCAGACAGCAGCAGTTACTATCGAATCCTCTACGAGCAGGCCTAGGCTAGGGGTATTTGGTGCTAGTGTGGAAGTCAGTGCGTATGTGTAAAGTGTAGACGTGGCAATGGTATACCATAATAGTGCTATTGAGTTGATTGTGAGAGTTAACGGATGTACATGTGAGAATAGAGGTGATAACAGGGCAGTGTTACCGAGTCATCGAGGGCGATAGCAACCGTAGCGCATAGCAGACGTGAAGAGAGAGAGAGAGAGAGAAAACACCATGACGCCAAACCTGAAACCTGGCACAGGTGGTGCCATGTTTAAGGGGGTTCGGGACAGTTAGGCCCAAAAATTTAATTTCAACATCAGCCCAATCTGACATCAGGTTTGAATAGGTACAGCCTTATATTTTCGCTTAGTAACATCAGTTTTTCAATTGCCCGAATAGGTCTTGCCAAAAACACAATTTTCCTTGATGACACAAAATAACACAAAATCCCAAAATTGATGAGAAATCGTCCATAACATCAGTTAGGACAGAAAATATGACCTAAAATTTTACAGACTGTTCGAGGTATTGACTAAGATGATATCAACACCGAAAAATGTACACTTTGGTTGACGATGGGATCCAGGTCGTCATTTCCTGGAGAAGAACAAAAAGACGCAAAAAATGAAACTTCGAATATTTTTTGCAGCTTATTTTTGAGTTTGCCCCATATGTGGATACTTCAAATACGTTCTATAAGTGGGTTGGAACAGGTTTACCGCGGCGAAAATAGGGGTCACCGTGCATATTCTGGAGAAAAATCCAAAAAACTGTCAAAATTTGCCTAAAATTGGTAAATTCACGTATTTATATTGCTTGTACTTCTCTGCTGCTGCTTTGGTCATAACTTATTGGATTTTTGGCTGTTAGGTGCTGCATAAACTCACTAGAGCCCTCGGCGTTCAGAACAATACAAGGATGGAATAGCTGAACTAGTAAATTTGCCGGAAAACCCTGGGTGCACGCATTTTCGATAGGTACTTTTCTCCATGATTACTCTCCTGTTGGTACTTGGTTGTGATACATGTACATGTTAAATGTGATAGCGCTTAGCACAGCCCCATATCAAACTCCAATGAAAGCTGACATGTTGGAACGAATCAGACATCATTGAGTCCTCTTGTTCTTCAACTATGCGAGCTAGAACGTGTCCCAACACTGGCAAAAATGATGGTATTTTACGGTGCGCACAAACAAGTGAAGCACTGTGCCACAGGGCGTTCCTTACAGTTGGGTTGCTGCTGGTTCTTCGCTAGGTGTTCAGCCACCGCTAATATAATCTTCCTTGAGACTGTCACCCGCTTCTTACCTCCGACTTGCTCCTTCATCAGTCTGGAAATGGCTGGCTCACCACTTCGTTTGTAGGACAAGACAAAGTGCTTCATCACCAACCCACTGGCAGCTGCCCGCACTGCAACTGATTTAGAGAAGCACGTTGCTTGGACCAACGGTTGAAGGGTGGCCAGCCGCTTTTGCTGATGTTCTGCAAACTCCATCGCCGAACATGCTGATGCAAAAGTGACAGAGTTCTACAGGATACTGGCATCAGGGCGAGCTTCGACAATTTCAGCTAGGGCCGCAACATCCGCAACAGCATCATGAGCAGCGAATTCATTCCCAACGATGAACTATAAATCAATCTGAGGCTGTAGCTTGGGAGCTCCGGTATCGCGGTTTAGGGATCAGAGTGTTCACCCAGCACAAAAATGCACACCATCGACACACACACATCCGTGCACACATACACACACACGCACACACACACACACACACACATGCATGCTCTCACACGCAATAGAACACACGCGCGCGCGTACACACACATACATTCACGCACGTGTGCGTACCCACCCACATGCATGTGCACACTCATGTGCATGAGTGGAGATGCCCGCATACACATGTCACACCAGCATGCCCTGGGAGCGGTCATGCACGCGTGTATAGTATGTGTGCGAGGGCACGTCCACATGAGCGCATATGCATGTGCATGCTCATACATGCGTATGGTGCACACATGCACAAACATGCAGGTCTATGCAAACACACACACACTCGCGGCCGCCGCGCATACAGTGTGCTCATACATTTCCATAGCCATAGGGTGGCAATGACTCGCAAATATCATGAATAAATCTTATGAGATTGAAAAACGCACTTACCCAAAGCAGCTTTGGTGTTGCTTGTGGAAGCACGGGGGCCAGGGTGTTGAGCAGTTACAGGGCTATCTGTAATGTATCTATAAAATTCTCCATCCCACACTGCTGACACGGAATGACAAGTACGCTGCCCAGGTCGTACCTCTTCTCTTCAACGCAATCAATGAGCGCCAGAGGTTTGCCACATCCAGGATTCTGGCACGCAGACAATCACACAGCCAGATACCTGAGATGAACGATTCGTCGACCGTGAAGAGGGGCACTGAACGACCTCTTCGCGGGAGTCGAATCCAGTGGCGTTAGTGGTGGAGATCGCCCTTTCCGTTTTTCAGGAACTCGATCGATCGTTTGAGTTTGCGAAGCGTCCCCGTCCTCGGCTTCTTGCATCGTCCAGTACGCAGAATGAGAGGCCGCGTCGTGGGTGACGGATTACTCTCCCGCGTCTTCATCTCCACGACACGTCGGCAGGAGAACCGATCTATCCAAAAACCGCCAATGTCAAAACAAATCCGCAAGTCCACTAGTGGCTGAGCTTCTTCCTCAAATCTTGTCTCGACTCGAGCACGCGCTGCGAAGTCATGGTCAAACTGCTTATTTTTTTACTCGATTGTGCATGATCGCGTCCCATTTTTCCACTCCGAAAGGCATTATTTTTCAGAAAAAAATTCGGAAATCCAACATGGCGCTAACCGTCGCGAACGTCCTTAAAACAACTCATGTAACTGATGGTGAGAATTTGGACAGGCAATTCTAGCCAGATGAGAAATCATCATGGACTCGCGGAAGTCCCTGCTTTTCAACGG